GCTCCTGCTCCTCCCGGGCCGCCCCCATGCCCACCCGGGCAGGGCTGGGCTGGCGGCTCCGCGGGGAAAGGCTGCTCCCGGCTCGGCTTCCCTGGGGAGGCCGAGCGAGCCCCACCGCCAAAGGCATCAGCCAGGGCTGAGCCCTTCCCCGCTCGCCTCGGCCCTGCAAGGGCGATACCCGACGCAAGCGCAGGCAGAGAGGCACGAAGACGACAGTAACCCGGCCGCCGCGGAGGAAAGCTGCGGGAGGGGAGGCGGGTGGCCGGCCCCCAGCCCCCAGCAGCTCGGGGCAGGGTGCCCGGGGAGGCCCCGGGGAAGCCCAGGTCCGGCACAGAAGCCCTGTGCCAGGCTGACCCCCACCCAAGGTGCCACAGGGGCTGGCCACCCTCCCCGTCAGGCCACCAGCCGCCACAGGACCCGCTGGTAACACAGACATTTCTGCTGGTTGCCTCCTGCTCCCGCAGCTAGGGCAGGAAGGGACAGCGGGAGGTCTGGTCCTCCAGCAGGCAGTATCCGCGCTGAAGCTCGGGAAAGACGCTGGGAAAAAGGGAGCACAGCACGGGGACGAAAGGAAGGCGGCGGAGTGCCGTGTGGAAGGAGGCTCCAGGATGAAGGCTCATCAAGGAAGAAGCAGAACCACAGAAAGGACAAGTAGCACTGGCAACTTATTCTTCATTCACCCACCGAGAAACAGAAATAGGATCGGTTTTGGATGTATTTCTTTTGGAAATGAGCCAAACTGGCAACTAGAATCAAAGTCTTCAAAAAGTCTATACAAAGATGTATCATACAAAATGTACAGCAAGTTCTCCAAAAAAAAAAACAAAAAACAACCAAAAAAAAAACAAAACAAAAAAAAAAAAAACGAACCAGACAGACAATACAACAAAAGGAGAGCAGAGATGGTGCGAAACCACAGCTAACAGGTCCTGCCCCTGCTCCGGGGGGCAGGAGCGGCACCTGGACACCACACTCCAAACACAAAATACATTACACTATGTACAGGACCGTACAAAGATCAGCATCCCCTTTGGCCTAACCAGGAGCTCTCCAGCATGAGGTTGGGGCAGTTCGGACAATCTGCTCGTGGAAGCGTTACATGCCGAGAAGGAAAAAAGTCCAAGGGAATGAAATGGTCAACTCTAAACCATAACCACAATACAGCCAGGCCACCAAGGCTACAGAGTTTAACAGTCAGTTCTGGCTAACGAGCGCTTTGCGGGCCAGAGCGCGTTACTCCATCTCCGTGAAGCGAGCGAACATGGCTTTCCGCACCGCGTCTTTGTACGAGTCTGCAGTGGAGACGCCGTAGGAGCTGCCCTTGGCTCCCAAGCCAGCTCCTCTCATTCGTACTTGCGCCTGCAAGGGAAGAGAGACACGCGTCAGCCCTCGGCCACGCCACCAAGCAGGACACCACAAACTCGGACCAGCCAGCTTCTTGAGCTCCGTGGGGATCCCACGTAGCCATAAATGCTGACACCGGACTGGACTGCAGGCAAAACCCCCGGCTTGCTGGCTTCGCACCGCTTTGACCCACCCCAACAGCAGCCGAAATGAAGCTGTGCAGAACACAGCTCCCCACAGCGTAACCCAGAGCACGGACAAACCCGGAAAGCCAGCGCCGGCGGGAGGGCAGCCCACCCTAAGCAGCACCGGGGTATGCGGCTCGAGCACAGGCCCGCTGCCACAGCGCCTCAGAGCCGTCTTCTGAAGGAAGGGAGCGCAGCCCTGCCTGCCCCAGCTCTAGCATCCGATGGGACAAACAGGAGCAGGGGCTAACGTGAACAGAGGCAGCTTTGCTGTGGAGGGCACAGCTTCTTCCACAAGAGATCTTCAGCAGCGAATGCTTCTGGATAAAAAAAAAAAAAAAAAAAGGCACCAAACCTCATCAAGGAAGCATCCATCTCTACTCACCTCGATGGGCGCTGTAATGCCCTGACATTTTCTTCCCAAGCCCGAGCCTTCCCTCCAGCCCATGGCCTGCAGCATCTTGTTGCCTATGTTACTGTTGTCGAGGCCGTCTTTGGTGGGCTGCTCGTAATTACTGCAGGAAGAGGAGATCAGTTAACTGAATTGCTCGTTATGTATTGAGGCGATCGCTGCAGAGCTTTCGGATACATACACTGTGCCAGCGTCATAGACCTTCTTGCGCTTCGGCTCGGGGGGCTCTGGGATGCCGTACTTCTCCCGCCTCTCAGCTGCTCTGTCTCTGTATTTCATCTGCAACCAGAGAACCAGATTTAGTACTGATTTAAGGCCACTTTTGTTTATCTTTGAGCTACAGAAGTAAGCTAAATGCCTGCTATTATAGAAAGCTGTCTGCTGCAGCCTGCTAAAACGTGGCTTAACTAAGACCACAGAGAGGAGAACCTCAACCGCGAGTCCCTGGAGCACATCAGAAGCTGCACTGGGGCAGGAGAGCCCGGCCCCAACCCCTGCTGGATTAGCTGCGAGTGCCACTCCAAGGCTTCTGGTCCCAGCCTGGCAGCCCTGAGCTGGAGGCGGAAGGACCCTTCCCTGCTAAGCAGCAGCTGTGGGATACGGGACGCTTCTCTCCACGTAACAGGACAGCTCTGAACCTTGACCCATGAAGGGGCTGGCTTACAAAGATTATCCCGAGTGACGTGTGTCAGGATACGGAGAGCTCAACATATCATCTGTGCAGGTTTTCCGTTAGCTGCTCATCTCAACACTGACCTCTCTCTCACGCAGCTCCAAGGCTTCAAGCTCCTGCTCTGAAAGCTTTGATCTCCTATAGATATCCATGTTTTGCTGAAACAAGAAGAGATTCACACTAACAACATGAAATGCACGACAACTCTTTTTACATAAGAACGTGACTTCTGGGAGAGCAATGATCCACCTGCAACTCTTTTTGCTTCAAGAGGAACAGTTGTTCCCAACAGCAACATGCATTATGGCTTTGGTTTACACACTGAATTACGGCAACCAAGTACCCTCCTGACAGCATAGCGCAACTACCTTGTGCAAGTCAGACAGCTGCTGGTGCCGAATCAGAGCATCCTTGTTTGGGAACTGCCTTCTACACAGCAGACAGGCCATCTTCTTCCAGTCAGTCAGCTTCTCTTCCTCATTCTCCATTCTCTCCAGTAAGTCCTCATCGTTATCGCTATCACCGCTGTAGGCAGCCACGAGGCCACGCTGGAAAGGAGGGATAGCGTTAAGGGGAGCACGACAGCGTCACCATAGTTCAGAGGAGAGCCCAGAAGAGAACACGGAGGCTGTAGATGCGTTTGCTGCGCAGGAGGGGCATCACCCTCTCATTCCTAAGGATGAAATGCAACTCAAGAGAACCACTACAATGGCTGCAAGACTTAGTTCCCACTAGCCAAACAGTAATTTGAGTACAGAGTTTTTAGGAACCTCAAAACCTCAACTGAGCTCTTGAGGCTAGAAGAAATCACAGCTTTTCTCAGCATATCTCAATCACCCAGGCTACTGCACTTGCACTGGACCACTGTAACCGCCACAGCCTTTTACAGATGATGCCATGGAAATCCAGGTTGGAAAGCAAGTATCCGCTAGATCTCCTCTAAAGTGCTTTACCAGCAACCTCCGGGAATACCTCTGTCAGGGATCTCATACTTACCTTCAGCGGATTTTCATCGTCCCCATTTTTCATCACCTCTGGCAAGATCTGCTGTCTCTCAGACAGAGCTCCCTGGATGAGACAAGAATGCCGTGAGCACCGAGCTCTCTGCCATACCACACCCCGCTGCGCGCTACTGCCAGCAACTTCACCTTTTTCTCGAAGAGGGCAAAGCCTGCATCTGCAGCCGCCGACTCTTTCCGCTCCTCCTCCCTGGTGCTCAGTGGCTGGAAGCTATTCTTGAAGTTCTCTTTCTGCTTGTTCAAACTCTTTGCCCAGCGCTCCATGTCTTTAGCAATCTGAAATGCAGAGTGGTTTGCTCAGACAGCTCCTCTCACAGCTATCAATCTCCCATGACACAGATTCAACCTTGCATACTGTTTCCAGAACAAGGCAACCCACTACCTTTTATTTTTAAATCACAGGACACTGGATGTAGTGCAGCTGTTTGCCTGTATACAGTGTTCAAAGATACCGCAGCTTGCTTGTTTTACTGTATGAACCCTTCTTATCAATCTAATCCTCTAAGTGACGGCTCAGTTATACTCCCACTGGTCCTGGCACGATTCCATATGTGTTCCTCCTATGCAGAGCTTATTTCTGCACTGAAACCTTGCCAACTCCACCTCTCCTCAGCCCTCTACAATGCCTGCAAATTGCAGGCATGCACCCCACCGAATAACCTAGGATTTCCTTTGTCACGAAAAAGGAGAACTGTTATCCCACTCCACAGAAGACTTTAGCCCAGTTACCATCCCATTTTATCTTTTACCTGTTGAGCTGTTTTACTCTTAGGCTTCTCTTTCTTCTCCTTCACTTCTTTGGTGGTGGTTGTGGTAGCTGTCTGTTGGTACGCGATACCTTCTGCAGCAGGCATGTAGGTCTCCTTTTCGCCATCCCAGTAAAGGTACTGCTGGGTTAAGGCATTGTAGTAATACTGCCGGAGAGAGGAAAAGAGAGTCAGACAGTTAAACGCCTTACACAAGCTAAGCGTCCGAGGGAGAAACCAAGCAAGCTGCATGATTCAGACTACCGCATCAAATGGGAAGGTGTTTTGCAGAGTCCAAACAAGTTTTGCAGACGCCACAAAGGAGTCAAAAGGCGTGAAGCGGCTGAAGCCTCTGTCCCTAAACAGAGGCGTTCTGCCCAACAGCACTATGGAGAACCTTTTGCCTCTCCCAAGAGATGACCCACCGGAGCGCAGAGCTGGGTGCACTTTGCTGGGCACTCCGCAATGAAACAGCTCAATGACAGCGCCGGTGACAAGTGCTAATCCTAGATGGGCCAAACCGGGAGGAAAATTAAGAAAAGGAGAGAAAAAAAAATGAAGGGCTATACCAGAGGGAAGTCAAGTCCCAGCTCTAGGCACACTGCTGAGAGTTAAATGCTACATTTGGTATATTGTGCACCTCAGAAAGTTAATTTCACTCATATGATGAGAGACAGGGAACTAATGGACCTTAACAGTTAAGACAGGTGGGATGAACTTGTGTTTACCTGGGAATTAGGATCATAGTAGAGCCCTGTTATAGGATCATAATAATATCCTGAAGATTCATCATATTGGTAGGTGGAAGTGTCAGGGACGGCTGTAAAAAAATTAAAGTGTGGGACATGGTCGTTGCAGTCGAATTCAGACATGTATCTTTCTACGTTTCAGGTAAAATTCTGAGATTATTAGCAGCCACGACAGCAGACATGCCTGTAAAGGGCTCTTAATCACCCGTGCAGAATACGCTCTCCAGGGACAGCTTCACCACTGACATATGAGATATGGTGATTGAGCGCTCAGCCAAAGCCAAGTCTCTCTCTTATTATATGCTGACAGATACCTGTCCCCAGGAGCAACTCCCAATTGCTTACCGTACTTGGTTCCAGGGACTACACCAGTCGGGGGAGCCGTCTGTGCCTGAGTGCTAGTGGTAGATGGTGCTGATTGTGTCTGAAAAAAACCCAAAATCAGGAACCTCAATCAGAAAATCTGTCACCGAGGCGCAAGAAAACAAGGACAGCGAGCCAAGGCATGAGCAGCCCACACCACACACACAACAGCTAGCTCTTCTTCACCAATACACTTAGCACTCACCTTTAACAAAGAACAAAACTATCACAGCAAAGAAATGGCAGATGACTTAGGAGCACAAGCACTGTGACTAACCCGTGTAGTTACACTCAGCAGCTTTGCTGCACCACCCACTTCAAAGAGCAAAGGCCGCAGCTAAGCCAGATATCCCACATAACCCTGGCGTTGAAAGCAAGGAGTAATTAGTGCTGTAATTACCGGAGAGTCAGGTGAGTTTGTCTGTTGATTATATAACTGAGGACTCTGGGACACAACTGCAGCTGTGGTGGTAGTGACCGGAGCGCCTGCCAACACAGAGCAATAATGGATAAGCCAACTAATTTGTAAAACAGTACTGCATCCTAGGGCTAAAATTACTTTGTTTACAGTTTCAGCTCCTAATTCCAGCTCCAGCAGCCAAACAAGGCAATAAACGTTTAAAAAGGAGACAGATACGCAGTGGGTATTTTCTACCCAGACAAGGAACAGTTTCCTTTTCAGGAGGAAATATTCTGCTCCCAAAGTCAGTGATTCCTGGCCTCTGACAGCTGCTAGCGCTAAAGATTTGTCTAGAGCTGCTTACACAGTTCTCATGGGTTCAAGGCTTTTGTCAATAGTCTGAAACAGAGGCTGCGCTCTCATCTCGCAGACTAGAGCTCCCACTTGAAGGAATTTGTTATGGTTCTCTAGTAACACGTACTCATTCAGACATCCTGAGAGCAAAATGAGCCAAGTCTCCCTTTACCCAGCAAACCAACAAAAAGGCTAAGGTAGAGTACCACTATTGCAAAACCATCATTACAAACAACAGCATCTCCCACGTGTCGGAAGTACTACCTGATATGGTAGCTGTGTCTGTGTCCAACACTCCTCCTTGATTTTGGTAGTACTGCTGATAATCCTGGGAGTACTGCAAAGAGAAACGAGTGACAACGCAAGATGAGCGGATGTCCAGGTTACAACCACCTACCAGTTAGAGCACAACTGCCACTACTAACCTGAGCATACTGCGTGTAGCCATCCTGTCCTGACTGGAGGTAGCTGTAGTCAAGGGTGCTGCCTTCTCCAGTCTGTGGCTGAAATTCGAGCAGGTGATTTTTGTCAGGGACAGGTAAGTTACGGCATTTAAGAATTTCAACGCTGCTTAGGCTCCAGCCTAACTGTCAAGAGCAGATCTGTCATAGCAGCTTTGGTCAGTTCAACCAAGCAGCAGCCAGCAGTGAAATTATATGCTCTACATTTTCATTTTCAGGAAAGCAAGACTATGAGCAACAGCCTCCAAATCATACCTGAGTGGACGACCACTGAGCTGCAGCAATGGCTGTACTTGCCACAGAGAAGGCGCTGACTCTGTTACCGTCTGGGAGAAGCAAGTCTCTGTAACCACAAAAATCACACACCTGAGTAAATACCGCTTTTTTCTGATGCGTCTCCCCACGCAAGGAGGTAGAGTCTGCCCTTATGCATGGATTTCTTAGCAGTTATAAACATTCCGATTGTAATGAATGAGCCGAAGCACTACGTGCAAGTAAAGTAACTTTAGATTCATTTTACAGTTAAGAACAAGTCACTAATAGTGTCTCCAAGGAAACAAGCGTGCAGTGTACACAAGCAGTTAGGATGTTATCTTCAGAGGACTGGAAACAGGGGTGGTGGGAACACTGCTTTCACTCTCCTCACACACAATGAAGAGCAGGATGCATGCAACACAAGACACTTAAGGGAAGCACAACTTTGGAGTGACAGTAAGCTTAATAAAATCCCAGGTGACAACTACAAATCTTTAATATAAACGGGGGGAGGGGGGGGGGGGGGGGGGGGGGGGGGGGGGAATAACAAAGCCCCTTTCGCAGAATTGCCTGTGTTTTTCAGGAAAAGTTTTGTGGTAAGCTACTTAATTTTTTTAAATGTTCCATAACAGCAGTCTTGATTTTAAAATAAGAGTTATCCTGGATTGAGCCAAAAACATTCCTTTCATTTGCATGTCTAGATTTATTCAACTAACGTACAGTCTCTGAGCCTGTGGTTGGGTTTTTTTATTGCTTACAGGTACCTGATGCAATAAAAAAGTGTCAACGTGCAGGCATAACTGTACGTATGGTCACTGGCGATAACATTAACACTGCTCGTGCTATTGCATTAAAATGTGGTATTCTGAATCCTGGTGAAGACTTCCTGTGTTTAGAGGGCAAAGACTTTAACAGGAGAATACGCAATGAAAAAGGAGAGGTAAGCATACTGATTATGTAAAGCAGATCAGCAGATATTCTAAGTCTCCTAACTGTAAAATATAACCAATGCTCTTTTGCAGATAGAGCATGAATAATCAACTGCTATCAGAACTCACTTTCTGGCACTCTTTGCAAAATCAACACCAATTGTTTTGCCATCAATTTTTAATGGTGGCTGAAGACTTTGTAAAATCTGCAGCAGTTGAGAAGCATCCTACAACGAGAAATACTCATTATTATGAAAGGCAGGTTACTGAGGAGGATTCAGAAGTTCCCAGAGCTCCACTTTTCACATACATGCCACTGAAAGCAGCTAAAGCTGTAAGAACACCTCCATCTCTTCACACTATACACACTTTGAAGAGCACAATGGGACCGATCACAGCCCACGCGCAAATAGCGTGGGGTTTCCCTGGGTCACTGAATATTAAACGTTCTAAAATCTTAGCTTTATAAAGCAGATGTTTGCCCCAAATTACTCCAAAAGGGAGGCCAACAGAGACTGAGGTCAGGCAACCGTTTTCATCCAATATGAACTGTTCCGCTCTGCCTAAAGCAGGTCCAAACAGATCACGTTGCTGACTGAGTTCGGTATACGCAGGAACAGAGATTCTACCGCCCTTCAGGGACCCTTTGCCAGTATTTGACCTCCCTCGCAGTTAAGAGGTTTTCCTTGTACCTCACTGCAATTTCCCATGTTTCAGTTTATGGCTGTTGCCTACATTCCTACCCCTGCGTACCCTCGAGAAGAATAGGTCTCCGCTGTCCCTACACCCTCCCACTGGATGCTGCAGAGAGCAGCAAGATTTCCCCCTCCTCCCCCTTCTCAAGGTGAAAGAAGCCCAATTCTACGCACCTTCTCCCACATTCTATGCCCCAGCCCTTAATTTTTGCAATCCAAATACGATCCCAGACCATTATTTTTGCGATCCAAGTGTGAAGCTAGCCTTCAATCCAGAACAGCACTCTGCTATGAAAATAGCTTTCCAATGTGCTCACATCATCCTAACACCTTCTGTCCAAACTGCAGCTAATGATGAAAGGCTGTGACACACTGTCAATTAACCCTTGGTGAACTGAGGCAGTCCTTCAGACACCTCAAAGGCTCTAAATGCTTCAGCTACAGAAGCACATTAACAAGCTGTTTCTCTCCAACACATCAGTAAGGCCCTCACCATGGCAGAAGACAGCTGCACAAACGCAAAGCCTCTATTTTGCTGAGTCTGCTTGTCTTTGATAAGACGAATATTATTGACTGCCAGAGACGCATACGGAGACAAGGCAGTCATGATGGATTCCACTACTGTGTGAGGAGCAATGTTTCGGAGAATGATGGCTGAGGAGAAAAGAAAGTATGACATTAGCTGTGCATGTAACAGCTTTCCAGAGTACTTCAAGTTCTTCAGTGGGCAGTCTGAGGTACAGGAAGGATTTTAGTACCTGTGCTTTACATTTCATGTTACACAATAAGTCAAAGATAACTTACTATCACAGTAATAATCCACAGACTGAACGGCTTCTGCTGCTCCAGGCGGCACCTCCTGTTCTGAATCTTCATGGGAAGAGGAAAATACTTTAGTCACAATGTGGCTCGCTCACTTAAACTCTATTTCACAAGCCACCCTAGGACCCACAGTGAACTTTGTTTCCTGTACAGTCTCCCACAAAATCAAACACAGCCAAAGAGATCAATGTAACGTACCGAATTTGTCCGCTCCACAGCGGAAGCATTTTAGTCTCCTTCTGAAGTTGTAAAGGCAGCACTATGAGGAACAAGAGAGGCCTAGTAAGAACTCAGGTGATTTGTAACCATTCTAGCATTTGCTGTACAATGGTGAAAACAAGACATTCATACAAAGTACCACAACAAAGCTAAACACACCAGAATAATTGAGAACAGCAAACGCCACCCTTGTCCGTATCACAGCTGCTTTTCAGAACATCCCAGCTACTTTTTTCCTAGTCCTCCTGAATTATTTAGTTATTTTAACTGTGTGGTCTTCAATTCACAACCCCAGGCATAGTAACTACTTTAAAAAGCACAATGTCAAAATGAAACACAGGCTAGAAAACAAGTTATCTTTATGGGAGAAAGTGTAGTTAAAGCCTGACAGAACAGCCTGGTCTTCATCTTACTAAATCACCTCCACTTCGGGGGGGTCACACAAGGAGCGCACAGCAGTATGTAGCAGACCAGCAGCAATTCAACGCTAGATTAGTCATCACCTAACGACTCTGTGTTCTAGTACAGCTCACTGCCCAACCTCTGTATCTTCTGGGGCAACACCTCTATCACTCTGTCTACTTTGCCACCAGAGCTACAAAATCTTTTTCTTCCTGTATCTTAGTATTCCTACAATGTCATACGGACCAGCAGTACAAGCGGGTCTGAATCACGTATCGCTTTGTTCAAACCGGCGAGCTGGTGAAGAGCACCGAAGCCAAGACAAACTCTCTCCGATAAAAACAGGCACTGTACCTTGTTGCAAAGCCAGTCCTCAAATTTAGGCCTGGGGTTGCTGTAGTGCATCGCAATCTGCTTCCCCTGAATCACCAGCTTTTTCTGCAAAAAAATTGGTTTCAATTATTCCTGTATCGAGGCACACATGTTCATTTTCCCATGGCAGAGCACCCTTCGGAGGAATCAGTGCTCCTGAATTAAATGGACAACATATGGGGAGGATGTGGAGGACAACCACCGCCACCTACACCCTGCCCATCCAATCCTGCAGAGAGGAGGACGAGGGCAGTAAGAGAATGGGATGTGGAGCAAAGATAAACGGAATCAGGGAGTGTTGAAAAAGCTGCCAAACACTAAACGCTGACATGGAACCAGGAAGTGTCTCGAAGGAGACAAAGTCCTAACCTGCTGCGTTCAGGATTAACACATTTTTAGGAGTCTCTTTGCCCCCACATTTCTATTCACTTCTGGTATAGCACTGAGCGACTTTTTTAAACATGTCCTTAGGTGACTGCTTCACTTCTTCCCCTACTCCAAACACCCCAGACCTTTTAACAACCACATTACTTTTCCAAGCACTTTCTTCAGAAGTATCCCTTTGAAAATACAGTAATTCCTCCCAAAGGGACCCTGCTTAAGACTTCTTGGAGGCTGGATTACAAGTGCCATCAACTGAAATGTAACTCAGAGTGGTTTCCTTTGACTAATGCATCAGTTCAATTGGAAGCCTGCACGAGAGGTTTGTGTTCTTCACTCAGGCAGGAGCTCTCTAAAACGAGTAACTAAACTGCAAATGAAGCTTCTCCAGGGGTAGGAAAAGTTCATAATGCTTTCGGCATGTCCTCTCGCTCTGACTTTAGAGGAGTTAGGAATTTACATCTATTTAAGAAGCCTTGATTCTCAGCCTCACACTTTGCCAAGCGTGGGTATGCAGAATGCCCTTTCAAAACATGGCCATCAACATATTTTAGTCAAACAGGTGGAAGTACATCTGAGGAAGCATGGATTAGTGGCCAAACCCCAGACATTTTAATAGAACTATTTTTATAGCAGGTTGGCTTACTGCAGAGGTACCACAGAAGTGCCAGGACCGGTGGCTTTTCTGATCACAGGGTCTGACATAGATCTAGCATGTAGCATGAATAAGGCTCTCACATTCTGCACAACTAAATAGGGCAAAGCCATTTCTCCTACCGGCAGGAGGGAGGGTTGGAGGGCCCAGCACTCACTGGATATGCACACATAGAAACAAAGCTGCTGGCATAGTTGCAATACATCATTCTTTCATCTAACAGTCAGCAACCGGGCTGCTGGGGAGATTCTACGTTTTCCCTACTACTAGGGTGGCTGGTTACTGGAGTGAATTTGAATATGTTTCAATAAATTATGCATCAGTACAGCTTTGTATATATTAAAATTATCTCGTTTCTGAAAATATGCTCAGCATCAATTTCTTGATATAAATCTTTCTGCTGCATCCGCCAACCCCACTGAGCAGCATGTCAGGAAAACAGAATTTGAAAGCTGCTCTCTGGCTGGGGAAATCACCCATGGTACAGGACACGTGAAAGAAACCCTATTCCAGCATAAGGCACGTGACAACTTCCATCTGCTGGAACTGCGTGCCTATGAATCCCGTTACAGTGCCATTTCTTTATGCGTAACACCAACAGAGCAGAACACCGTTCCTCATGCTGCCCAGAGACCATCCCATCAAATAGTTGTTAAAAAAAAAAAAAAAAGCTTGACACACTTTGCTCACTTTGAGAGTATTTTTAAGTTCTGTTGTTAAAACAGATTATGAATGTTCAAAAAGGAGCAAAAGCCGGTGAAACTGCAGTGCAAGAGGAAAATCTCATTGGGAAAGAAACTAGAGGACTCATTGCATTTTGGCTCCTTATCAAGTCATATGCCAAAAAAGCAAAAATACACAGCATAACCTATGTGAGAACTCACTCTCTACCAAATTTAGTTGGAACAAACACGCTTTTCCGCTAGAAGAGCCAGTTCTCCCCCTTTAACTGGGGGAATGCAATACTGCCATGAACTGGTACTTCTCTTTCAGGGTCAATACCAATGTAATGCAGAGATCTGGTGCTTTCTCTGGTAACAGAGAAGGAAACATCAGGTAGAAGTAAGCTGAAGTAAGTTAGGATTTTTTAAAGACTACCTGCTAAACCTTCACGGCCCAATTAAATCAAAACCAAGTAGTTTAAAACAATGGCACATTTTACCAGGGAGTGCTCAAAATAGCCAATTTTCTCTCCTAATGTTACCTGATATTTTGTCCTACTGCTACAAATTTTAATATATACAAAGCTTTTATTCTTTTAAATCACTGTTATGGAACAAACCACTCCTTCCACCTTTATTTTTTCCTTTTTTTTTTTTTTAAACTGTACAGACTTGTTCCATTTTCAGGAATATCTAGACTTGGTGAGTGAAGCAACCTGATTGGCTTCCATCCAGCTGGTAGCATCTTGAAAGTGATAAAACTCCACGAAGGCGAAACCACGGCTTACACCTAGAGACAGCATTCAGATATAGACGGGATACTTGTGTTAGTCAGTTCCTTTAAAACAGGTGAATCTCTCTCCAACTGCTTCATTACTTCATGACAAAGCAGCTTTACAAATGCGACGTCAACTGCTGGGATCTGCTCGTTATTTTGCCATGGCAAGGAACCAAGCTCCCTTAACTGGCTACATTTCACTCGATTTGAATCCATGTTTAAAGGTAACCATGCAACAGACTACATACTATTAAATGGGTTTATACTAGTATTACTTACCAATACCTGTTAACAAAACCCCCTGCAGACTTCTTTTAACATGTTGACCAGCTATCTAAAAGTCTTCCAAAAAGCCACATTCCTTAGCCATGGCAAACCTTTTTATTTTTTTTTTATTGCATGTGCTTGCAGTTTGGGGACAATTCTGGATACTCTTTTGGGCTGGGGAAGAGGAAGGTGATGTCAAAAACTGGATTAAGAGCTCTCACCTGTCTTTCTCTTCATCAGCCTCACGTCTGCAGGCTGAGGACCTTCAAAGGACTCAATAAGCTCCCGAATCTGCATGAGATTTTAATCAGACAGTTAAATTTTCACATCCTGGCAGACAGCTAGGACAGTCACAGAAGCAACCTACCTTACAGTACACGCAAGAGGTACACAGAAACATAAAATTCTCAGCTATCTCAAAGAAAACCTTTAGGGAGAACCTAACAGGAGACTGACGAGCACCAGAGAACCCACACAGTCCTTTGCTACACGAAAACCACTGTCGTCTTCACTTAGACCACAGAATCCTCCAGAATCACTATGATCTTGTATTCCAAGGTTATTTGCGCAAGATTTGGCGAATACTGTGCTTGCTCCACAGTTTTTATAAAGAACGCTGCTAGCATCCCTCTCCCTGCATACCTAAATACTCCTCACTCCTAGCAAAGGAAAACAAGAACACTATACTGCGAGGATCTGTGATGTAGGTATTCTTAAGCCTCACGCTGCAGTTCTCCATCCTCTAACAGTTCCCCTTCTCTTTTTCAGGGGATAGAGCAGATTTGTGAAGGATGTATCGAAGAACAGGCTAAAGAAATGCCAGTTCTTCAGCCATAACAAAGCTGCTTAGGTTGTAGCACAGGCTACATAAACTACTGTGGAGAGGCACACAGGAAAAAAAACAGGTTGACAAATTTTTTAATGTCAGACCAGAAGACAGAAGGAGGTTTTTCAGCAGCTCTTACAGAACTCAAACTACATTAGATACAACAGGGCTGCTCATCAGACTTAAATCTGATCTAAAGCTGCCCGTTTACATGCTGACTGGAACTGACCTCTTCAGTGCAAGTAGCTATTTTTCCATGAAAAAAGTGTAAAAAGCTGAAAAATATGTACACAATCAGAAGTGTCTAAGTAACATTAACTTAAGAAAACAACTAGTAGTTCCAAGATGCATCATCTATGCTCTAAAGATGAATCCAGAATTAAACTCTCCCATAAATTATGCTAGTTATTTGCACAACTGTAGAGCCACAACATTAATACCCGAGAAACAAAAACTGTTCTGAAATGTTCCGTGTAATGTTTAACTGGGTTGTCTCATTCAGATGCAGAAGCCTACACTTTATCAAGCACTTACAAAAAATATTAGACCAGCACACGATGATTAGGAGAATAGTGAATAATCACCAAAAAAAAAAAGGCAAAAACCCCCAAATTCCATTGCAGAAATGGTGCAAAAGGATTCTCCATGTTAGCAATCAGTGCACAAAGATCTCGGAGGCAGAGGTGGAGTCTGCCTGAAAACAAACTGGAATAGCTCTGCTTTTACAGGGTTCCCCCCCCGCCTCTCAAATAACAGCAGTAGACTTGTATCTTGGTAATCAAAATAATGTAGCAAGGAAGAAAAAAACCCTTTAAAAATAGTTAAAAAAAAAAGGCAAGCTCAAAGCTGATCACCTTCAACATCTTTCTATCAAAAGTTAAATAACCATGTACCAAGCTCATCTGTACTTGCTCCGTCAGCTCCGCAGCAGCCATTTTATGACTTCCACAGCTGTACCCACACAAAGCAGCTTTGTGCAGGGCCGTACTGAGCTGGGGAGCTCCGTGTGTGTGTAACCCCACCAGTCAGGGCTTCTGGCCTCTGCCTAAAGATCTGGAAAAATTCAAGTACCCTCTCTCTGTCTCTTTCCCCCTCCCCTCACTCTCCCGGGGGTGGGGGCAGGAGGAGAGAAGAAAAAAAAAAAAATTCGTGTCTTCCCTCCTATAGGGAAAAGCAGAAAAAGAGCAGGTAGTTTAAAATCCACTCTTAGGGAAAGCATCCAAACGTGCATGAAAAAAGACTATTCAGAAATGGTTCCGTCTGAAAGAAACTGCTTAACATTCAACTGACCTCTGTTACTTAACAGTGACAGTTTAAATCCTTTTACGATTCAAAATGGCAGCGCTACCAACACGCCGGAGAGCGGGCCACCATGATGCAGCTTTCAACAAAATGGCAGCAGCGACTGCCACACAGACCTGCTGACACAAAGCCGCCGGTTTCCCAGGGTGGAAGGAAAGCAAAGCCCCTTCCTGGCTACTTACATCGTTCTCTGTAACCGTGATGGGAAGGCCTCGTAACATGATAGTTTTGCTTTCTTTCTCATCGTTAATGTCGTTCCTGTAGTCGTGCTCTCCATAGTCGCCATCGGAATGGTATCCATCTTCTGATTTGTCACTGTTCCTGCGCTCCCGCTCCCTCTGAGAAGGCAGCGCCCAGCATTAACCACCGCGATTTTGAGCAGCATGCCCCCACAACGCCATGAGCACAAAGCAAAACCAACCCACCGACTCCCCACGCCAGCACCGTCCTGGGGTTTGCTGCTGACGGCCTCAGGCACAGCGCCGAGCCCAAGCCCCCGCGGTGCCAACCCGGCCCCGGGGACCGGGCTCCTAC